AGAGGACGTGTTTATTAAATCCGGGGACAGTCTAACAAGGAAGGGCTTAGCACAGGAGAAGCAACCAGAGGGAGTCTGGGTGGGTCCACTGTCAGCTCACTGAGAAATAAAAATGACAGTGACAGATGTGAGCCACGGTAGGCCTGCTATTAAATCCCTGAGGAGCCAGGAAAAAGGGGGCCCTGGAGACAGGATCAGGGGCTTAGCCCAGAACAAGCTGCCACTGCCCCACTGCTCTCCTGGTTGCAAGCCAGGTGGGGACGCTTGGAGTTCAGGAGATGCACACCTGTGGGGGGAGAAAGGTGCAGCAGGCTCCTGAGAGGGAGAGCATGCTGGACTTGTTTTTGAGAGAGGCTCTGAGGCTCCCAGGGAATGGCCACCTGCCCTCGGACATCTTACCCTACAGAGCTGCGACCCCTGCCCCCCAGTACAGGCCCCACAGCATTATCCACCACTTCTCCCAGCCTCCTGGTTTGGAATTCAGCCTCAGAGGCCTCCTTATCTCGCCACACCCAGCACTGCGCCTGGCACCGATTCCAGCTCCATAAATATTTGCTGCCACTCAGCCAGCTGCCCAAGCTCCGCCCCCTTTCCCACCTCTCCGGGCCTGGGCCCAAGCGGTGCCACCTCTCAATCAGCTCTTTTGTCTCAAGGAGAAATTGGGGAGGGGGGGATGTTGAGGAAACCAGAAAGAAGGAAGTGACCCACCCAAGGTCACTGGGAGAGGGAGGATAGAGAGAAAGAGAGAGAGCACTGGGATGCTTCCGGACCCCTTTGACGGGGTGATACCTGTGGCCACTATTTATCCTGCACCCACTCTCCTGAGCAAGGAAGGCACAGTCACCTGCATTAGGTGATTCCATCTGCACTGCAACTGCAGGTCCCTAGTGCAGATGGCCTTGGACGGACACAATTGTCTTTCCCTGGAATGAGCCCCCACAGTTCCCTTCAGACCTCCCCTTAGAAGCCTCTCACGAGGCCCTCCCTGTCTCCTTTCCATGTTATCTCGATCCATCCCCTGTGATAGGCCAAATTCCAAGTTGGTCCTAAGACCTCTCTGCCCCCCGCCCTGAGCACAGGTCATCCCTAGGTTCTCCCGACAGATGGTTGCCTAGGCGCTGCTCCGAGGGGATGTTGCAGTTGGAATGGAGGTGCCCAATCAGTTGGCTCTTGCAAACGGAGGTGTTCTTTGGGTGGGCCTGGCCTAATCAGGTGACTCCTTTAACCAGAGACTCCTGGAGAGACCCTGGAAGTGGGTGGAGGAGTCAAGAGGAGGGAGAGTATGCTTCACTGGCTTTGGAGTGGGGCAGGGGCAGACAGGGGGTTCACCCAGGGGGATGAGAAATGCAGGCCACCTCTGAATGCTGAGCACATCGGGGCTGACAGCCAGCAAGGAAACCGGAGCCTCGCAGTTTCTCCCAAGTGGAGACCCCGGTTGCGCCCTCCTGGGCTCTTGACTCACAGAAACCATGAGCTAATGAAGGGGGGCCGTCTTCAGCTGCCACGGTGGTGGTTGCCAGGGGTTGGGGTGGGGCAGGGATGAGCAGGTGGAGCACAGAGAATCCTAGGACAGTGAAAACACTCTGTGTGATGCTGTAAAGACAGCTACATGTCGTTATACATCTGTCCCATCCCACTGAATGTCCCCACACCGAGGGTGAACCGAAGGCCCACTGTGGACTTTGGGTCACAGCAACGTGCCCGTGGGGGCTCATCCATGGTAACAAATGCAGCGTCTGGTGGGAGGTGTTGATATTGAGGAGGATTGTACATGTTGCAGGGGGGCAAGGGATGCATAGGAAATCTCTCTGCCTTCCACTCAATCTTGCTGTGACCCTAAAACTGCTCTAAAAAATGAAATGTGCTCCTGGCTGGCGTAGCTCAGTGGATTGAGCGTGGGCTGCGAACCACAGCATCGCAGGTTCAATCCCCAGTCAGGGCACATCCAAGAAGCAACCACTGAATGCATGGAAAAAGTGGAAGAAGAAGAAGATGATGTTCCTCCCTCTTCCTCCATGGCCACTGTCCCATCAGGACGTTCCAGAGTCCCCTCTGGGCTCCACTTTGTCACCTGCATTAGAACAGGTAACACCCTGCAATGATGGCCTGTTCCTGTCCATGGCCCCGCCCAGATCCCCCACCCCGGGGTGGGGGGGCAGAATCTCTCTGTTCATCTCTGTCCCAGCCCAGGCCTCAGGAATTGTGTGTTGAATTTGACCAGATATCAGGTCCATCCACAACTGGACAGATCTGTTTGTCCCAGGTCCTGCAAACATCTACACAGAGAGGCCCTGAGGGTGTGAAGCGGAGAGTCCCACCTCTACTGGAAACTGGGCAAGAGGTGTAATCTCCGTGACTGCCCCTTTCCTCAACTATGAAATGGAGCTAATAATAGGGCTGCCGTGAGGATTAGCCCAGCGCTGGAATACACCAAGTTCAGTAAATGCTCACTAGTACGATTGCTAATCACGCGGATTTAGAAGCCCGTTACAAATGCGCTTCACTGGGCCGTCAGTCAGGCTCCCGGTGGTGCACTCAGCTCCAGAGGACAGGGAGCCGGCCGGCGGGTGCCCCAGCTGCGAGTCCCTCTGCCTGCATTCAGAGCAGGGTGAGGCGGTCGGTACAGGTGTCAGCTCCGCAGCCTGGCCTCTTTCCCAGGGCGGGGGTAGCCCTGAGAGGCTCCTGAGAAGGCAAGGGACAAGCCTCTCTCAGTGTTAGAACTGGGGCTGGGGGGCGGGCACTGCAGGAGAGGGGGGCTGCAGGCCCGGAGGAGGCTGGGTGTCTGGACCATCCACCTACAGGAAGGTGGGACCGGCACCTTGTCCTGCAGCCTGGTGCATGTGGAAAATGCAGTGATTCTGAGCCCAGGTCTCCAGGCTTCTAGAAAGATCCAGCAGGGTCTGCTCTGTAATCCTGGGATGCTGTCTCTGTCAAGTTATATTTCCATTTTTTAAAAGATTTTATTTACTTACTTTTAGAGAGAGGGGAAGGGAGGGAGAAAGAGAAGGAGAGAAACATCAATGTGTGGTTTCTTCTCACGCTCCCCCTATTGGGGATCTGGCCCACAACCCAGGCATGTGCCCTGACTGGGAATCAAACCAGCCACCCTTTGGTTCTCAGGTCAGCACTCAGTCCATTGAGCCACACCAGTCAGGGCTATGTTTCCATTTTAATAGAATGCTGGGTGTTACCTGTTCTAAACAAGGTGACAAAGTAGGGCCTAGAGGTGACTCTGAAATGTCCAAAAGTAACAAGGTGGCCCTGGCCAGGTGGCTCAGTTGGTGGGAGCGTCATCCCATACACCAAAAAGTTGTGGGTTCAATTCCTGGTCAGGGTACATGCCTAGGTTGTGGGCTCGATCCCTGTTGGGGCGAATTCAGGAGGCAACTGGTTGATTGGTGTTTCTCTTTCCCATCAATGTTTCTCTCTCTCTCTCTCTCTCTCTCTCTCTCTCTCTCTCTCTCTCTCAAATCAATGTGTGTGTGTGTGTGTGTGTGTGTGTGTGTGTGTGTCCATCCTCGGGTGAGGATTTTAAAACAGTAACAAGGTGAAGATAATTTTGATAACATGTCTCATGTCACTCAACACAGCATTCTTCTCACTGAACTGTCAGTGTCCCTCAGTCCGGTCGAGTCCCCTCACTCACGGGAGTTCTGGTCGGCAGAGTCCCAGAGAGCACGGAATCGCTGACACTGAACCGCCGCCCCGAGGTCAACACAGGGTCAGGTGCTCTCGAGCCCTTGGTCACCCCACTTTCACTAACCGGTAAATGCACAGCCTTGTTCTGTGTCTCTGCTCAGAGACCCCTTACTTAGCACCTATGGTTGCTCCCTGATGTGGAGCTCAGGGCCAGGGGTGCCGTCGCTCAGGCCCGAAGGAAGCTCATCCAACACACGGATTTTCTCCTCGGGTCACGGAACAGGACGTACACAGCACTTCAGTCCTGGGGGCTGTTGGAAACCGCAAGAGTGCAAATGACAGCATGGCGCACCGCCTGGAGTGTGTAGGGACAGTTGTTCAGGGGGTGACGGAGGAAACAGGGCAGGGCGCCCTCTTGTTCCTGCTGGGCTGAGAATGTGTGTCAGCGACTCAAATTTTCCGACGTGCTGTGACTGCGGATTTGGGGGTCACCCGTAAATTTATGTGGGTAGGCGAGTTTGCGAATAGGGAATCCGTGAATGCGGAGACGGACTGTGTCTCCGAAGCATCGAGCCATCGCATGATTACTACAAGAACCGCCAGGGAGACAGCTGGCATTCTATTTTTCATGCTAAGTTGTGGAAATCCCCCAGTGTATTTTATGCTCACATCTCAATTAGAACCAGCCACGTGTCCACAGGGCTGCCACCACGCCTGGCGAGTGGCTTCTGCATCTGCCTGCCTCTAGCCTTCTTCAGATCCTCAAAGGGGCCTGTGAACTTCAAAAACAAAAATTAAAACTTCCCTGCCAGAGAGAACCGCTGTGGAGCGCTGTTCGGCAGTGGCCAAGGAAGGCGCGCGCACTGTCTCTCTTCCGACCCAGGAATTCCACCTCGAGGCCAACGCCCGGGAGATAGCGTGCACTTAGCGCAAGTCAACACGTGTAAGAATAGTCTTCGCGCCCCTGCTTGGCGGAGCATCACGCTGGAGAAAAACAAACTGTTCGTCCTCGGAAGGGTGGACTCTGTGAAATACAGCGTGTCCACGTCTTTGCAAAGGAGAGAACTTGAGCTTCCTGTCGCAACGCGGAAGACGCTCACCAACACAGTGCTGCGCTAATGGGGACAAAGGCAGCTGCAGAAGGTCACGGGCGTGATTCTATTTATACAACATTTAACAACATGCAAGGCGATACTCTATAGCGGTTATGGGTTTATGCATATGTAGCAAGAGCGCTTTAAAAAAAAAATTGCAGACGCCTCCTTAAGGACCGTGGTGACTTCTGGGAGGGAAAGGGATTTAGAGGGGCGTTCCGATTATATTGGAAAAAGTTATCTTTTTTCTGCTGGATGGTGGCAGCCAGGTCGGGACTCGTTATACTATGCGGGATATTTTGGGCGGGTGTGTGCCTGGAGCAGTCCGCTCCGCGGGGAGCCACAGCAAGGCTCTGTGTGACCTGGTCGGAGACACTGAGGGGGGCGGGACCTGTGGCCTGTCTGTGCCTTGGAAAATAACAGTCCCCCCGTCGCAGGTAGGTGGCGAGGATGAAACGTGCCTCCTGCCCAGGTGCGCCTGCGCCGTCGGCACTGCCGGAGGAGTATTCGTTAATAACAGTAATGCCATGAAGCACCCTCTCTCTCTTCCAGGTGCTGGGTTTACACCTGTCTTCGATGACCCGATTTAACAGCACGTATTCGACGTAAATATGAATGAACCAAGGCACACCTCGGAGTGACACAGAGAGAAGAACCCGACCCGCAAAGGTGGGAGGGAGGGCGCCCTTCACCCCACAGTCTCGTGGGCTCGTCAAAAAGCTTCGTCTTTGCAGGCAAAAGAAATCAATTTGATGTTACTGCTTTTTCCCCCCTTTTCACGAATGCTCAGAAATATTGTTTCCAATTACAGTCGATATTCAATATTATATTAGTTTCGGGTACACAGCATAGTGGCTAGGTATGTATACAGTTTGTGAAATGGTCCCCCCATCAGTGAAGTCCCCACCTGACACGTACGTACCTATGACGACTTCATTGACTATATTCCCTGTGATGTACTTTACATCCCCATGCTTTTTTCTGTTTCTTTTTCTTTTTTCAAATCTCTTTTTTGACCCAAGGATGGTGCGGGTGAGTTGGTGGGTTAAGTTGAAAAGGGCACAGTCTTTGATGTGTGAGTTAAATTTTTATTTTATCTTAAAGATTTTATTTATTTATTTTTAGAGAGAGGGGAAGGGAGGGAGAAACAGAGGGAGAGAAACATCAATGTGTGGTTGCCTCTCATGTGGCCCCACTGGGGACCTGGCCCACAACCCAGGCATGTGCCCTGACTGGGAATCGAACCTGTGACCTTTTGGTTCACAGCCCATGCTCAATCCACTGAGCAACACCAGCCAGGGCTTGATGTGTGAGTTAAATTTTTAGGTGATCTTCCAGTATATATGTTATTCATTACATTTATTTGAAAAAAAAATATGAAATATATATGAATAACATATAAAATACCGGGTGAGGCAAAAGTAGGTTTACAGTTGTGAGTATGCAGAACACAGTTTATTCTTGTGTTATTATTTATTAATTATGACATTATTTTCCATAGGAACAATTGTACACCTACTTTTGTCCCACCCTGCATATGCTGTACCATATATAACACAAAATGCATAATTATATACAGGGTAATGCAGATCACATATGTTATCACATTATATGCAATATTGTACATACAGGGACACCTCGGAGATACTGGGATATATCCAGATCACGGCAATAAAAGGAATTGTACTTTTTGCTGCCAGAAGGTCTTGCCTTCGATTCGTAAGAAATGCCACACGTGTGAAGCACAAGGAAACGAGGTATACAATGCATTGTAGGTGCTGATGTTCCTTTAAGAGTAATACTCTGGGTAGGCATTGCAACGGGAGGAAACTGAGGCCCGCGGGTGGGGCGGGGGGGGGGACGCTTGGCCCCGGGTGGGCTCGGGGGCGGGGGTGGCGGGCGGACAGCCAGGAGGGGTCAACAGAAGGAGCCCTTGGCTGGGGGCTGGCGGCAGAAGGCCCAGCTGCGGAGAGGGGTGTGTGCGTGTGGTGGCCCGGACTGGAGCCGCGCCCGCCCACACCTGCCTCTCCAGGTCACTCCGGGTGACCCCGCCGAGTGGCCGTTGCTAAATGGGGAGGTGCAAAGCTCCGGGGATCATCGGTGAGCCTCTCCGCTGGTGTGTGTGCTGGGCGGGCTCAGGAGGGCCCAGGCCCGCGCCCCGTGCGGTCACCCCCGCTCCTGGGGTCCCAGGTGGCCGCGCGGCATCCTGACCTTTTGGTCACGCTGGCTGGTGAGGCACAACTGCCGTGCGGACTCCAGGCGAGTCCGGAGGGAGGCGCTCCACCCCAGCAGGTCCGGGTCACCGGGGCCTGGCATCCCGGCTCCGCCTCCCAGGCGCCGCCACCCAAACGCCTCTGCCTGTCCGCGCCTCACTGTCCCCACCAGTAAACTGGAAACCGCCGTTCTCCCAGGGCAAAGCTTGCAAGGGGCACTCCACAAGGTCATGAATGAATTGAGAGAGAGAGAGAGAGCGAGCGCGAGCGCCAGGGCCTGGCACCTGACAGCAGGGACTAGTCATATTTTGCATTATTTCATTGCTTTTATGTCTGAACAGGTAACAGATGCTGAGAGGAAAATTCGAGTAACCCAGAAGGCAGCGTGATGAAAGGTCCCCCGAAGCCGTGTGTGATCACTGACTCCACTCAGTTCTGGAAAATTCGGGAAAATTGGATTCGGACCAGGGAGCAGCTGACTTTAAGGAACAGTTAAGGCTCCGCGTTGGGATTTTCAGTATCCAAGTCGAGCTGGATACTGAGAATTACCCTCATTTTTCAGATTGAATCCTAATCCAAGGATATGTTTACTGATTTGAGAGAGAGCAGAGGAAGGGAGAGACAGAGGGAGAGGAACATTGTGGTGAAAGAGAAACACTCATTGGTTGCCTCCCATACCCCCCCCCCCACAGCCCCACGGGGGAGGGCGGGGGCAGAATCCGAAAACTTTTGGTGCACAGGGTGACACTCCCACCAACTGAGCCACCCGGCCAGGACACCCTAACTTTCTACAGAACCGTAAACCCTCATTGTTGGGGCAACAATGTAGCGCGATGCCTGTAGCTTCTTGGATCACTCTGAGCTTTCTGGTGAGTGTTCAGCAGACCCGAAAAGAAAAAGGAAAAGGGAGCCCTTTGTTTTCAAGTATCAACAAGCCGGTGGGCCTGTCACCACTCCCACCGCCTGACTGTGCAAGCTTGCATTTCTTTGGCGGGAGTCTTTGAAAGCAAACATCAGGCAGCGTGTCATTTCACCCCGAAGCTTTTCCATCGGCTGTAATTTACTTTAAAATAGTTGATTCCTCCCCACCCGTAGCCCCCCCCCCAAGAAAATAGATAAGGCGAGGGTGGTATGCAGTTCTCTGGGGTGACATCAGAGGGTGGCTGAAGACTGTTCACTGTGACTCTTCTCGCTTTTCTGCATATTGGCAGTTTTGCACAATCAAACCTCAAAGAGCAGAGGAAATTTTCCCTCTGCCCTCTCCCCTGTCCTCCCCGTCACCCGCCCCCCCCCCCGCCCCCACCACTCCACCCGCCGCCCAGGGCCCCAGGGGCAACACCGAAGCCAGTTTCCGGGGATCCTTCCAGAGTGTCAGTGACGGGCGTTGCTGTCTGTATTAATAGCAGGCTGTAGTAGTGGCGAAAGCTGAGCCGGCCCGACCTCAGGGCCCTGACTCAGCCTGGCCCAGGTCCTGCCGACACCTCCAGCCCGTGTAAGGCGATCTGGCTCTCGGAACCTCAGTTTCCTGCTCTGTAAACTGGGGACAAATCCCCATCTTTGTTGGGTGGCTGGGAGGGTCCTGTGAAAAGGACAATCCCTTTCAAAGCCTGGCTCAGAGCTAGTGCTGAGGACATGGGAGAAGCACTTTCCACACACATTTCTGAGCTCTGAGCTCCTGGGTCTGAGGGAGGAGGGGCTGTGAGCCTGGACCTCTGGGTCTGAGGGTGGAGGGGCTGGGGGCCTGGACTCCAGGATCTGAAGGTGAAGGTGCTGGGGGCCTGCACCCTTGGGTCTGAGGAAGGAGGTGCTGGGGGCCTGGACCCCTGGGTTTGAGGGAGGAGGGGCTGGGGGCCTGGACCCCTGGATCTAAGGGAGGAGGGGCTGGGGGCCTGGACTCCAGGGTCTGAAGGTTGAGGTGCTGGGGGCCTGCACCCCTGGGTCTGAGGGAGGAGGGGCTGGGGGCCTGGACCCCTGGGTCTGAGGGAGGAGGGTCTGGGGGCCTGGACCCCTGGGTTTGAGGGAGGAGGGGCTGGGGGCCTGGACTCCTGGGTCTGAGGGAGGAGGGGCTGAGGGTCTGGACTCCTGGGTCTGAGGGAGGAGGGGCTGAGGGTCTGGACTCCTGGGTCTGAGGGAGGAGCGGCTGGGGCTTGGACTCCAGGGTCTGAGGGAGGAGGGGCTGGGGCCTGCACCCCTGGTGTCATGGTGCGGCACTTTGGGAATGGCCTCCCTGGCCCCTCGCCCCAGCACTCCCTGCCTGAGGAAGAACCAGCATGCGCAGAGCTGCAGGTCACCCACTCCAGGTAAGGCTGGTGAAGGGGCCTGTCTCCCCTTTTCCCGCAGCACTCAGGCCTGGTCCCTGGGGGTTCACAATATGTTTTGTCCCCTCTGTCCTGGGACTAGAGCCCAGACTCCAGGCCGGTCTAAGTTTGGACGGGGGAGGAGGGGAGCAGCAGGTCAGAGGGGGTGAGGGAGGGCTGTGTGGGGGGACGGGATGTCTCTGAGCTGTCACACACACCCCTGTCCCAGACCCAGAAAAAGGGAGGGACAAAAGGCTCTGAGCGAGAGTCGGGAACAAAGACAGGAGGAGAGACAGAAAGAGAGAGAGACACTGGGGAGAGGAGGCCATAGAGAAGCCAGAGTGAGGGGAAAACAGAGAAGCAGAGGAGGGGAGGGGACAGCAGAGTGGGGACATCCCGGACCACAGACTGCAGCAACACCAGTGAAGACAGCGTGGTGACAGGAGAGAGGAGCCAGGGGCCAACGGAGACACGGCAGGGAGGCCCACCCCAGAAACCCGAGAGCTGGGGCCAGGGCCAGGCGAAGACAGGGAGGCTGGGGGGCGGGGGGAGGTTAGGGAAGGAAGAAGGGGTGAGAGGGAGTGAAAGACATCCACAGGGTAATACGGAGCTGGACCCACAGACACCGGAGGGTGAAAGAGAGGAGAGGGGAGTGAGGGAGACTCCCGCAGACTCGGAGGGAGACCGAGGCAGACCTGTTCAGAGGAGCTCCCAGACCGTGGACCTGTGGGATGCAGTGGGCTTGAGTGGGCCAGTCACCTGCTGGGGAGCCCAGACCAGGGGGAGCCCAAGGGCCAGCTGACACCAGGCAACCCTGAGATGGAGCTCAGGGACCCCGAGAACCACGAGGATGGGGACCCAGACCCAGAGGTGAGAGATGGGACATGAGGGAGGAGACAGAGAGATGAAGAGACAGGCGCAGAGAGAAAAGGAGACAGAGAGAGAGGGATCCGGGGACAGGGAGCAGACACACAGGGACCGGGAAAGAAATAGAAAAGACGGGGAAACGGAGAAACGTCAGAGATCCAGAATCAGACGAACCCGAGGACGCGCAGCAAGACCGAGGCCCCTGGGAAATGGGCTCAGGAACCGGGAGCAGGAAGCACAGCGAGGAAGATGGTGGCAGGAGGGTGGAGAGGGGGCTGCGTCAGGGAGGAGGCAGTTGCAGCTGAAGCTGGGGGTCTTTGGGCCCCCACAGATGGCAGTGGGTGGGGTCCCTGAGGCAATCGCCCCTCACCCCGCCAGGACATAATAGCAGGTGGCCCGAGCCTGGGTGAGTCACCGTGACTCATCCTCCTCTCTGGGGACAGTGACCCCACCCTCTGACCCCCCACATCAGGCCTGCAGTTTTGGCCTCCAATCTGCTCCTCTGCTCTCAGTGGGCCCCAGACTCAGCCCGTCCCCACCTCTGTCCCACCCCCTCAGGAGGACACGGACACGGCCCTCCAGCGGCTCGTGGAGCTGACAGCGGCCAGAGTGATCACAGAGAGGAACCTGCGAGCCCAGTACCGCCTCATCCGAAAGCTCGGCTCGGGCTCCTACGGCCGAGTTCTCCTTGCCCAGCCTCGCCAGGGGGGTGAGTTTGGCCACTAAAAGGCAGACTCCAGGACTCCCCATAGGAGGGCTCTCAGGACCTGCCCAGGGATGGAGCATCCGGGGCAGAGCGGATGGGGGCCCTTCTCGATTGGAGCTCTCAGGAAGTTAAGAGCCCTGGGATCTTCTGAGAAACAGAGCCCCTGCCCAGAGAGGGTATGAGACTCGCCTGACATCACACAGCAAGGTCAGCGCGTCCTGAGTCCCCACCCTTCCCCGTCTCCCTGGCAGGTCCGGCCGTGGCTCTGAAGCTCCTACGCCGGGACTCCGTCCTGAGAACCACTTTCCTGAGGGAGTTCTGTGTGGGCCGCTGCGTCTCCTCACACCCGGGCCTGCTCCAGACCCTGGCAGGGCCCCTGCAGACCCCCCGGCACTTCGCCTTTGCCCAGGAGTACGCGCCCTACGGGGATCTCAGCGGGATGCTGCAGGAGCGGGTGAGGCAGGCAGGGGACAAAGCTGGGACCACTCATCCCAAGTGTGGCTTTGTCCCAAACCCCACTGCTATCCCCAACCCTGACCCTCAGATCAGTGCCCCACTTAGCTCCTCCCTACGCCCCCAAACGACCTCCTTATTTCTAATTCTCAGTGTACTTTCGTGTCTGACCCTAACCCTAATTCATCTAAACACAAGTTTGGAGGGGCAGGGTTTAGGGGTCGGGATTGAGGGCAGATTAGGTCTGATGAAGGGGTGGGGACAGAGACGGAGTTGGGGTTCTCGTTAGTGCTGGGAGTGGGAATGGGGGCAGATGGGCTGAGTTTAGGGTTGATGACAGGCTGGGAATGGGCTGGAGAAGAGTGTGGATGGGGTGTAGAGCGAGGAAGAGAGAGCTGAGGACATGTGTACAGATCGAGCTGGAGATGGGCTGTAACCAGGTCTCCTCTAGGAAGGTGACCAGGTCAGCTAAATCCATGAGATTCTAGGAGCACTTGAGTATGAAGATTAGGGTGGGACCATCTTTGGGAACAGGCTTTGGGTTTGAGATAGGGTTGGGAATAAATGGAAGGGAGGGAAGGAGGGAGGAAGTGGTGGAAGGAAGGAAGGAAAGAAGGAAGGGAGGGAGGAAAGAAGGAAAGAAAAAAGGAAGGAAGGATGGATGGATGAGGGGTGAAGGATGGATGGAATAAAGTCAGGGAGGAAGGAAGGGAGGTAGGGAAGGATGAATGGATAGATTTTGGATATTAAATAACTGAATAAATTATGGGATTGCTGAGTGGCGGTGGGATGGATGTTGAGTGGAAACACTGAAGAATAGACTGTTGGGTGGACAGCTGGTTTGATGGACGGGGCGCTGGCTGGCTGCCTGGGTGGATCGATTGGTTGATCAATCAATGGAGTGAACTATGGAAGTTGGAGCAAGGTCTGAGCTGGAGATGGGATCTAAATTAGTATGGGGTTAAGTAGAAAGTATGGGGTTTGCCCTGGCTGGTGTGGCTCAGTGGATTGAGCGCTGGCCTGTGAACTGAAAGGTCACTGGTTCGATTCCCAGTCAGGGCACATGCCTGGGTTGTGGGTGGGTCTCCCAATTGGGGATGTACGAGAGGCAACTCAGATGCTTCTCTCACACATCCATGTTTCTCTCTTTCTTTCTCCTCCTGCACCCTCTCTCTGAAAGATAAATGCAATAAAAAATGAAGTAGGGGGTTGTGTTCTCATTGGAGAGGATCGGAGTAGTCAGTTTAGGAGCAGTGCCTAAGAAATGCAAGGATCGGTTTTGAGTGTTAGGGTCAGGAGCAAGTTTGATGCAAGCTAAAAGAGCTCCTGATTAGAGCTGGGGTTTGGTCCAGGGCAGTGCAGTTGAGGGTCCCGTTGTGGCTGAGGGTCCCGTTGCACTTGAGGATGATCTGGAGAAGGTGTTGGGGGGAACCTTACAGGGACACGAGGTAGCCAGCGGTCTGGGTTTCTGGATTCTTGAACCTCAAGAAGCAAAATAAGGAAGGAACTGAGGTGCCCTGACCTCCACCTTCTCTCCTCGACCCCAGGGTCTCCCAGAACGGCTGGTGAAGCGGGTGATGGCCCAGCTAGCCGGAGCCCTGGACTTCCTCCACAGCCGGGGGCTGGTTCACGCGGACGTGAAGCCGGACAACGTGCTGGTCTTTGACCCCGACTGCAGCCGTGTGGCCCTAGGAGACCTAGGGCTGACCCGGCCAGAAGGCAGTCCCACCCCTCCCCCGCCAGGGCCACTGCCCTCTGCCCCACCTGAACTCTGTCTCCTCCTGCCCCCCGATACACTGCCCCTCCGACCGTCCTTGGACTCCTGGGGTCTCGGGGTGCTGCTCTTCTGTGCCGCCACGGCCTGTTTCCCTTGGGACGTGGCTCTGGCCCCCGACCCCGAGTTCGAGGCCTTTGCTGGTTGGATGACCACCAGGCCCCAGCCACCACAACCGCCACCCCCCTGGGACCAGTTCGCGCCCCCGGCCCTGGCCCTGCTCCAGGGGCTCCTGGACCTGGATCCAGAGACCAGGAGCTCCCCACTGGCTGTCCTGAACTTCCTGGGGGATGACTGGGGGCTGCAGGGGAACAGAGGGGCGCCTGGGGACTTGGGGAGTGTGTCCGGTGAGGATGGGGAGGAGGAGGAGGGGGGATCGAGCCTGGAGGAGTGGACAGAGGAGGAGGACGAGGGTGACCAGGGTGGCGGGAGGATGGAGACAGATGGGGGAACTCCCGGACCAGGTGACTGAGACAGGTGGCCAGAGCGCCAGCCAAACGCCCCTCCCCCAGCCTCCACTGCCACCTGGATGGAGAGACAGCTGCTTGGGCGAGGACAGAGTGGGAATACATTGCATCTCTCTCTCTCTCTCTCTCTCTGCTGGAGGCCAGACTTGGGTGCACCCTCCCCACTGGGGACCTGGGAGCCCAGGACCCTTGTCCCCTCCTCCCTCAGACCCAGGGGGTCCTGGCCCCCAGCCCCTCCTCCCTCAAGCACCCTCCCTTTTCCTTCGGTCGTGAATGTGTCTGCTTGAACAAAGGCGCTGTCTCCCCTGTAGACGCATTTCTGCGCTGTGGGGACGAGTGGAATGTGGGAACGTCAGAGTTCTGACGAGGTCCCTCCTCACCTCTAAGACTTTGTATGACTCCCACTGTGCGCAGCGCCAAATCTGGGCTTGCAGGACCTGGCGCCGAGGAAACTTCAGCCTCCGCCCACCTGTCCCGAGTCCCTGGGCTCCGGATGACCCTGGGGAAGCCCCGCATCCTTTGTGGGCCCGAACCTGCACGCACACGCGTGAACGCAGACGCGCAGCTTCGCGGGTCCTCGGTTCCTCCCTCCGGGAGCGCCCTCCTGCGCCCTCTCTGGCCCCGCCGGGAACTGCACCCGAGCGCGGGTCGGGCCTCCCTGTTCTCCCGGCTCCTCTCGGGTGCTCCAGCCTGGCCTTGGTCTCCTGTCCCTAGAGGGGCCCCACGCCTGCTCGCACCCACAGAGCACGTGGTGGGTAGCCGCCCCGGCTCAGGGCCACCCTGGCTTGGATGGATCTCCAGACACCCGCAGCACCCAAAGGAGCAGCCCTGCCCCATGCTAGGGACCCTGGCAGGAACTGTGCTTCCTCCTGCAATGCTGTCCTACATGCTTTTGCAAAAATGTGGGTTCACTCAACGCAACGCCGTGTCCTGGGTTGAACCCTGGGGCGGAAAGAGGCTGTTGGCAGAAACACCAGGGAGATAAGACGTGTTTGATCGTGAATTTCTGAGCTTGGACAAACGCGCCCTTGGCTGACAGTCCCTGGCCCGGCGGTGGCATGGGCGAGGGGACACGGGAGTGCGCAGCACCAAGGTTGCAACTGTTCTAAAAATCTAAAGTTATTCCAAAGTAAAAGCTGATTTTAAAAGAATTGAGTTCGCCTCTGTCATCTCGCTATAAACCTGAGTGCTGGGTGCAACCTCGCAGGCGTGCAGCCTCCTCGCTCAGACACGGGTCCCGGCGCAGCTTCCCTCCGCCTACCGTGAGGTCTGCAGGCTCAGCTTCGGACCCTCCTGTCGCCCTCCCCTCAGGCCTCTCTCTGCCCAGTTGTCCAGCACCTGCTTCTCCTCAGCCCCAAGTCTGAGGTCATCTCTCACTGCATTGTTCTGGAATCCCGTTGCCTCATCCTTTCCCCAAAGGGACCCCAGTGTCCCGTCCCCAGGACACCCGTCAGCAACACTTGTGTCTGACCCGTCAGTGGGGCACTGATGGGCTGCTGGGGGTGGGGGGAGGTCAAGGCAGGGGCTCCACAGAGAAATGACTTCATTCTCTACAGGTGGTCGGTCCTGCCTCCTAGGTCCAAGGTGGGGGAGGGGCAGAGGGCCTGGACTCCTGGGTCTGAGGGAGGAGGGGGCCGGAGATCCCCTGGGTTTGATGGATGAGACACTGAGTTCCTAGGTCTGGGACATTCGTCCAGCCACAGCCATTTCTGGGAGTCAACACAAGGTGTCGCTCTGTCCCTAGTGGGGTGGAGGGGGCGGGGCCAGGGGCGGGCTTAAGACCCCTAGGTGGGGGCGGGGTCTTGCTCCTGGGCAGGCCTCTGCTGGCATGGGCTCTAAGTGCTGGACACTGACCACAGCGGGCAGCCGAAGGGTCAGGCAAGCCTTGGAGAAGGTGAGGTCTGGAGGTCGGAGTCCAGGTCAGGAGGGGGCAAGGGTTAACGGGGCTGAAGAGGGCGGCACCTGAGAGTGAAGCCAGGAGGGCAGGTGGTCAGAGTCCTGGGTCCCTCAGGGGGGCAGGAGCTGGATGTTGAGGCGTGGTTGAGTGTGAGGGACGTGGAGTCTGGGGGTCCCAAGATGTGTGAGTTGTATAGGTTACAGGAGAGACGGGACCAGGGGCCCTGGCTCCGGGGTCTGAGGAGGGAGGGGCTGGGGGACTGGGCTCCTGGGTCTGAGGGAGGAGGAACCAGGGACCTGAACTCCTGGGTGTGGGAGAGGAGGGGCTGGGGCTCTTTGTCACTTTCCATTGAGACTCAGTCTCCCTCTTCATCGGAGGTGTCTGAGGGGCGGGAAACCAGTTGCGAGTTGGGGTGAGGTCAAGCCTGAGATCGCAGATGTCCCTCGCCCCCACCCCCACAGCCACCCGATGGCCCAAGGCTGAAAGATGAACCAGATAACTCGAGACACCCCCATCTTGTTTCCAAAGCAAACAGACTTGGGCCCAGGGGGTGGATGAGCAGCCTCTGTCTCCTAAGCACACAAACAGGTGCTCTCTGGCCTCCAGGGGCCGCGGAGGGCAGGGCTGCACACACCGGGGCCTGGGGGACGCCTGGGTCCCAGATAGCAGCAAGCATCTGGGAGCCGGTCCCTAAGCCCCTGAGAGGCCTGGGGTCCAACTCCCGCAGCCCCAGCCCCTCCTCCCTCAGACCCGGGAGTCCAGGCCCCCGGTGGCTGGGCCCTGGGTCACCCCCTGTGCTCTGCCCTACAGACATGCAGGGCAAACAGCCCGAGGGGCAGCAGGTGGAGGAGGGGGATGCTGAGAACGGAGCGGAGGAGGACCTGGGGGGCCTCACGGCAGAGGAGCTGCGGCAGGGCCAGGAGGCGGCACTGGCCCTGGAGGACATGCTGGCCCTGAGCGCCCAGACCCTGGTCCAGGCCGAGGTGGACGAGCTCTACCAGCAAGTGCGTCCCCTGGGCCAGGGCCGCTTTGGCCGGGTCCTGCTAGTCACCCACCGTCAGAAAGGTACCGGGCCTGGGGACGGAGGTGGGGCCGGGGCAGGGGTGTTACAGGGGGGTGGTAGCATGGGCCCCGGAGGAGCCTGCAGAGCTGACTCCGTCTCGCCCCTGCCCTCCGAGCTGTTCGGTCTCGGGACTCGCTCTCCAAACACAAACATGCTTGTCATTGCCGGGGCCACAGGGAGCAGAGGTCCCCCACCCAGTGCACCTCACATGTGGCTGGCTCAGCGGTTACTGGAAGGGTGGTCCCGAGCCAGGCTGTGGGTTGGGCACCTAGCAAGGCTGGACACCCGGCCCCAACCTGGGGTCTTTCTGCCTGGTGTGCACACATCTCCAGTGCCAAGCCCCCCACCCCCCATGACACTGAGACCCTGTGGGTGGCACCTGGAATCACTGTCAGTCCAGCCTTACCCTCTGCGTTGCCCTGCGGGCTCAGCCCACCCTGGGTGGTGCTGGGGACTCAGACGGGGGTCTGTAAGCCCGCCTGGAGCCCCTAGGGCTGCCACAGGGCCAGAGCCAGGGCGGCCAGAAGAGCAGAAATCTATTTCCTCCTGGTCCTGGAGGCTAGAAGTCTGAGGTTGAGGTGTGAGCAGGGTCAGTTCCTCCTGAAGCCTCTCCCCTTGGCTTGTAGATGGCCGTGTCCTCCCTGGGTCCTCATGTGGTCGTCCTTCTGTGTGTGCCTGTGCCCTAACATCCTCAAATCGGACTAGGGACCACCCTATGGCTTCATTTTACCTCTTTCAGCCCCATTCTGCGGTGTCAGGGGTGAGGCCTTCAATATAGGAATTTGGGGGGACATAATTCAGCCCAGAACAAAGGGAAAGACAGACACAAACCCAGGTCATCGTAGAACTCAGAGGCGGGAGCAATGACAGGGCACAAAGGGGTGTAAAGGGCGCCTTGTGCCCTGGGGCTTCATCCTGGCACCGCCCTGCAGGCTGGGCCGTGCTGAGGATGAGAGTGTCACCCTCCTGGATAGCAGGCAGCCCAGGTGGGCAGAGCTCAGCAGAACAGAAGGGGCCACGGGTGAGGCAGGTACCTCCAGCTGCTGCATCCAGCTGTGGAGAGAGTGGGAGGGGGATGGTCAACATTTCAGGGGAGAAAGTGACCTTCCCCCATCCCACGCGGCCTCCGGGTGGGCGGGGCTGCGCCCTGGCAGGTGTGGCAGTAAAATTGCAGGCAGAGTGGAGTTCCTGTCTTCGAGAGCTCAGATTCCAGGAAGTTGTTTCCACAGGTGATAGAATCCCTAAAAATTCCTTAAGGGGATCTAACACCAGTGCTAGGCATCCTCCCCCCATTGCCTCAGACACGGCTTTGCAGCCAGAGGGTGCTGGACCCAGGGGCCGAGGTGAGTCCCTGGAAGTTCCAAGTTCAGTTTCCACAGTATCTCTTCATCAGCTCCAAGTCAGAGAACTTGAGGAGAGCAGAGCAAAGCAGAAGAAACTCACTAAATGCTGTTATTAGTATTTAGGGTCGGCTTGGTAGGGAGGCAGGAACTGGAGGAGGTGGAGATGGGAGATGGAGAAGACCCTTCCTGGGGAGCCAGCAAGGGTGACCCCCAGCTCCCGCTGTCCCCACCCCCGTCCCAGGCACACCCCTGGCGCTGAAGCAGCTCCCGAAGGCCTCCACTTCCCTCCGCGGCTTCCTGTACGAGTTCTGTGTGGGCCTCTCGCTGGGCACGCACCCGGCTGTGGTGGCGGCCTACGGCATCGCCATCGAGTCCGCTGACTCCTACAGCTTCCTGACGGAGCCCGTCCTGCATGGGGACCTCATCACCCTCATCCAGCCCAAGGTGCAGTACACAGAACCCCAGCAGGTCCCCTGTGGGTCTCCCTAGGTCTCTTAGAAATGCCCCTGAACTGCTTGGACTCAGGAAGCAGGCTCACTGCATTGGGCCTCAGCAGGACTTCCGGCCTCCCATGCCCCTCACTGGGTCCCCAGGTCTTGCCAGTCCCCTCTGGGGTTCGCTCATGGCACAGAGCCCACACTATGACCCCTGGATCCACCAGCCCTCCTGAGGTCACATTAGGGCCCACCAGACCTCGCCGGGCTTCACGGGGCCACACCAGGCCTCACCGGGCCAACCCTATTAGAGGAACTTTGTGCTCCAGGGCCTGCTCCTGGGGCTGGGGAGAAGCTGTATCCCAGGGTGGGCGGGACAGTGGCCCTGATGCACCTGCCCTGCAGGTGGGCCTCCCGCATCCTGCAGTCCAGCGCTGCGCGGCCCAGCTGGCCTCCGCCCTGGAGTACGTTCACTCCCATGGCCTGGTGTACCGCGACATCAAGCCTGAGAACGTGCTGGTGTGTGACCCAGACTGCCGGCGCGTGAAGCTTGCGGACTTCGGCCACACGCGGCCCCGAGGGACCCTGCTGCGCCTGACTGGACCGCCCATCCCCTACACGGCCCCCGAGCTCTGCGCGCCCCCACCCCTCCCCGAGGGCCTGCCCATCCAGCCTGCCCTGGACGCTTGGGCGTTGGGGGTGCTGCTGTTCTGCCTTCTCACCGGCTACTTCCCCTGGGACCAGCCCGTGGCCGAGGCCGACCCCTTCTACGAGGACTTCCTCATCTGGCAGGCCTCCTGCCGGCCGGAGGACCGGCCCCAGCCCTGGGTCGGCCTGACGCCTGTGGCCGACGCCCTCCTGTGGGGGCTGCTGGACCCCCACCCCCGCAAGAGGAGCTCTGTGAGCTCCATCGAGGGCTACCTGGGACGACCCTGGAGGCAGCGGGAGGGGGAGGCTGAGGAGATGGAAGACCAGGTCGGGAAGGATGGGGAATGAGAAGGGCCGGGGTGGCTGGGGCCCACACTTGCCGGGGAGGCTTGGAAGGGAAACCGGATCCCACGTCCTGAGGTGTCCTGGGAGGTCATGTGGTGGCCTTCTCTCCTGCCTGGTTTTGTCTCTGTCTGCTTGCTTTCCCCTTTCCCTCCTCCCCACCTCCCTGCCTGGGCCTGCGGAGTCTCTGAGGCCCCTACCTGTCCACGCCCACCTGTCTCCATCAGCCCCAGGGCCTTTGTACTTGCTTCCATCCTTTACCTGTTGTGCCTGGGGCTCACGCTCTCACCACTTGCAAACCTGAAATGCTTGTCCCTTCATTCTCCTGGGGCCACACCCCTCACCGCAGGCCACTCCCCCAACTCAGTGCACCCACCAAATCTCCTCTGTGATACCCAGTCCCCTCACACTGCAGCATGTCCTCGTGAGGTTAGCCTGTGTCCTGTGGAGCCTGAGCTCCTGGGCAGCGGGGAGCCCAGCCTGTCCTTTCCTCTGATGTGACTCACGCACCCTGGGCTGTCCTGGCCATGGTGGGCAAGCAGCGAAGGCTTGTTGGATAAACAGACCCCGGTGGCTTTGCAGCACCCCGTCCTCCCTCACCTGTCTCCTCTCCCCAGGCCTCCCTCGCTCCCCAGCACGTCCCCCTCCTCCCACAGGCTGGGCAACGCCCTCTCGACAAGCTATTTTATTCTCTCAGCCCAGCCACTGCCTGCAAATAAAGTCCACCTTGCACTCAGGTCTCTCTACACGTGTTGGTCTGTCCGCTTGAGAAAAGGAAGGACGTTGTGTGTGTGTGTGTGTGTGTGTGTGTATCAGCGAGAGCATTGTGCACAAAGCGGGGGGACCAGAGAGACGCAGACGGAGAGGGAGCAAGAGAAAGAGCCAGACGGACAAATGGACAGAGACAGAGACAGAAAGAGACAGAGGCAGAAAGAGAAAAACAAATGACAGGAGGAGAGACAGAGACAAAAAGAAGGGCAGAACCGCCCCTCCTCCGTGTGCTGCTGCAGGAGGCTCTGGGTATGCTGTGTGTGTGTGTGGGCAAGATGCTGCAATGGGGTCGTCGGGGTCATGGGGTGGTCGGAGTCTATTTCTGCACATCCGCGTGTGGGAGGAGGAGACGGATTAAAGGGAGCCCAAAGGTGCCCGGTGGTGGGTGGCCAGGCACCAATGCTGGGCTGGAGCATGCATTTCTGTGTATCTGCAAGTGCACGGGTGTCTGAGCCTGTGTGTGTGCGCGCGCATGCATGTGTGTGTGTGTGGCCACGGCGTGAATGTGTGAGTGGGGACAGAATGGAAGCTGGAGTGCGGCTCCCTGTGTGGACATCAGATCCGCCCCTGTGTGTCCATGAGGCCATGAGTGCGTGTGTGGCAGGGGGAGGAGAGGCACCCGGGCTGGCGCCGCCACCAGTCACCAGCTGGGCCCCTGCCCCTTCACACCTCCCCCTCTCTCCTGGCCCCTCCTGGCAGCCTCCCTGTTTGCAAACACTCTGTCTTCCTCTCCGTGCCCTCCTTGGCTGCCAGCCCAGCACAACGCTACAACTAGAGCTGGATCAAGTGTCACTCTCTGCCTGGCCTCTGTACGCACGCCCTGTTGCCCGCCCCTGCTGTGGCCACTAGGCGTTGCCTGGGGGGTAGTGTGTGACAGCATGTGCCGAGTGACCCCAAGGGCCCTTTGAATTGAGGTTCAATTCAGAGAACCAGGGACACAGGCCCGTCCTGGGCAATCCAGGTGAGCTTCCTGGAGTAGGGGTCGGGGGGTGCATTGTGGGAGAGCATGATTAGGACCTCCTGCCACCTTATGCATGAATCTGAAATAGCCCTGGCAATTAGGCCAAGAATGTGTCCCCAAAAAGCTGGAGGCGCCAGGAAAGGGTGATGCTGGGGGAGAGTGAGTGGCGATGAGCAGAGGGCAGGGGGTGGCTGCAGACAGTGTTAATTAGTGACAGCAGCTGAGGATTAACTGGGAGGTGACAATGACCAGGACGGGGCATGGGAGGATAGAAACTCCCAGGAAGGGCCTGGAGGGGGTGGGGCAATACTAATTAACTCTTAGTTAATGGATACCTAATACGGGTTATAATACTTAGTACTAATGAAGCAGCTCCTCCTCAAGTAGCTTCCAGGCAGGCACATCTGCTTGGTCCCTCAGAGCCGCCCATGTCACAGGTGAGCAGTGACAGTCCAGCACAGCCAAGGTGCCAGCAGGTCAGGGCAGAGGTGGGACTCGAACCCAGGCTGGCTCCTGTCCAGGGCTCAGCTCTTAAATGGCAGAGTCATCCCCATTGTCACCAGCAGGTGAAGGGGCCCTGTGTGGGGGGCTCAGGGTGTGCACACAAGTGTATGAGTGTGCATCACCATGAGTGTGAGTGTGTCTCTGCGTGTGACAGCGAGTCTGCTGTAAGAGTGTGAAAGTGAGTGTACAAGCATGAGTGTGGATGAGAATGTAAGAGTATGAGTGTGTATGTGTGACTGTGTGTGCATGTGTGAGCGTGTATGAATATGAGAACAAGTGTGAATGTGAAGGAGTATGTGAGCATGAGTGAGACAGTGAGTGTGCATTTGTGTGTAAGAATGTCAGAGTGAGTGTGTGAGCACTGGATGGATGGAAGTGTGTGTGGGTATACGAGTACATGTGTGAGACTGCACACCTGGGATGGTGTGAGGTGGTGTGAGCATGCATCTGTGTGTTGGTGTGGTGGCCACGTCTCTCTTGCAGGAGACTGGAGTGGGGGCACCCAAAGGAAGACAGAAAGTGGGGGCTGCAAAAGCTCTCGGATCCACAGGAAGGCCTTCATCAAAAGGCAGGCGAAGGTGCATGCTGATGAGGATGAGGACAAGGGGGACCCTCCACAGAGCCGGTGGAGTGGGGTGAAAGGGGTAGCCGTGCATGCGGGGAGACAGCATGCAGTTCCTCCTCACATTAGACACAGAGTTACCTCGAGGCCCAGCAATTCCACCCCCGGCCCTCCACCCACAGAAATGAAAACATCCATTCCCGTGAATGGAACATGATTCATGGCAACACTCTCCACAGTAGCCAACAATGGAAACACCCTAGAGGTCCATCAACAAATGAATGGATACATGAAATGTGGTCCATCCACTCAACGGAATATTACTCATCCATAAAAAAGCCCTGATATGTGCTGAGTCAGGGACGGACCTCGGAACCATCTTGAAGGGAAAGAAGCCATCGCAGGAGACGATCTGATGCAGGATTCCATTTATATGAAAGGTCCAGAACAGGCAAATCCAAAGGTTAGTCAGGGGTGGGGGTGCTGGGGAGGAGATGGGGGTGACTGCTAATGGGTACAGGTTTTCTCTTTGCGGGTGGTGGTGATGGTGGAAAAGTTATAAAATTAGATTATGGTGAGTGTCCTGCAGTTCTCAGAAAATGTTAAAAACCACTGAATTGGACATGTAAAAAGGGTGAACTTTATGGCATGTAAATTTTACTTCAATGAGCCTTCTTAAAGCAGAAAAATAAATAAATAGGCATTTCCAAACTTCTCCTGCTGTTTTTTCCCCCTCACTGAGTCTGTAATTGCTGTTGAAAAGAAAAACCTGCCCTGGCTGGTGTGGCTCAGTAGACTGAGCACTGGCCTAGAAACCAAAGGGTTGATGGTTCGATTCCCAGTCAGGGCACATGCCTGGGTTGTGGGCCAGGTCCCCAGTAGGGGGCACGTGAGAGGCAACCACACATTGATCTTTCCCACTCTTCCCCTCTCTCTATAAATAAATCAATAAAATCTTAAAAAAGAAAAAGAAAAGCTCTCTCATTCCCTGTGAACCGCAGACCCAACTCCTCCTTACTTGCAGAAGAGACCCCCATAGGAAACCTACTCTCCAAAGATCCTAAAGCCAAACAGTGATGTCAGTCTGGGTCCAACCCCAGGTCTGGCCCGATCCCCAACACCCCTCCCTACACAGCACCCCTAAAATGCACCTGGGCTGGTGATTGCTAAGGCAGTGCTGGGGTTCCCCCATTTGGGGAACCCCACCCACACTTGCACATAGGACCAGTTATTACACTCGTGGGTGTCCAGTGCCCAGTGGAAATGTGTATTTTTTTTTTATTTTAAAGCTCTTATTTACTTAGTTTTAGACAGAGGAGAAGGGAGGGAGAAAGAGGGATAGAAACATCAATGCATGGTTGCCTCTCACGCACCCCCTACTGGGGACCTGGCGCACAACCCAGGCATGTGCCCTGACCAGGAACTGAACCAGCGACCCTTTGATTTGCAGGCCGGCACTCAATCCACTGAGCCACACCAGCCAGGGAAGGGGATTTTTATTTTAACAAAGAACAATGGAAAAAAAGCTTTTTCCTTCTCCCCAATCTCTCCACCCCATCCTTGTCTGTCTGTCTGTCTCTCTCTATTTGTTGTTGAGTGTAGCTCTCTCTGGCAGACCCTCGAGGGAGTGGGAGATCGAGGCATCTGCCAGAGGGCAGAAGGAAGGCCAGGAACCTGGGACTTTGCCAAAGCCCAGGCTCCAGACATCTAGAGTATACTGCATTGTTCCACCAACCTCACTCACAAACCACAAAGTCAAAAATCTGGAAGACATCAGGGCCGTGACCACAGAGCAGAGAGCAGAGCCTGCGGCAGCACCTCACCGGGGCCTGCTTGCGGGTTGGCGTTTGCCAGAGACCCTGGAGCACCACCAGCCTCGCGAGGCCTCTGTAAACACCGTCTGGTTCGGCAGCTCACTTGTGCTCAGTGCTGGCATGCAGACTTGACAGGGACATCAGTGGCAGCCCACAGACTGCCCTCCTAGGCTGGTCCCATGCAGTGCCTGATCCAGGGGGCGGGGCTCGGGGGGTGCCCGAAACTCTGCTGTTTGGACTGGGCCGGTCCTGGCTTGCACTGCAGGTGCGGGGAGCTGGGAGGATGCGTTTCCAGGGCACCGATCCTATTCCCTAGCCGAACCACCAGAAACACGGGCCAGGGGCCACTGATTCTTTGGAGTTTTCTGCAGGGACAGCCATACTACCCGGGGGAAGTGACACGTCCGGGCCATCCTTTCCACCCTGTCTCTGAGGAAGGGGCTGCCCTCTGCTCCCATGTTGCTGAGAGAGAGTGTGTGCATGTGGTTGTCACCTGGGAACATGGCTCCTGCCTGGCCGAGCCCACTAGGCCCCTGCAGGCACTGTTCTCAGCTTGTTTTGAGCTGGCGGGCACAGCACCCAGCTCAGCTGCCCCGTGGGAGGTGTCCGGCGTCAGGGCCAGTAGTAGGTCGGGGCTGGCCGCCCATCCTGGCCTTGGGCCCAGGGGCCAGATGTTTGGGCTTAGCTGCCTGTCCAAACAGGGATAGAGTGACCAGATAATTAAGCACCCGCTTCTTCAGAGCCGGCAGGGGCCTTGGGCCAGAGTGCCCTGCGCCCTGCCCCCCCAACCCTGGCTTGTGGAGAGGGGCCAGGAGAGTGACACCTCACCTGGCCCCCCGGGGTGACCCTGAGCCAGGGTTCACCTGCTCCGCTGTGTAAAGCGGACCTTTTGCTTGCCGGCCAGGCGCCGTCCCCCGAGCCCCGAGGACCCAGGAGGGCAAGGGGAATGCAGGCGGAGGCTGTCCCCTCAGCCCTCCCAGTCAGCAGTTATTTCAGTCTCGGGGCTTAATGAGGCCGAGGGAACAGCAATCCTCTGCGTGCTGCTACGCCTGTTGGCGGGGCCCATGGTCCATCTATCAGGACCCCCGGTCATTATCCGTCCCCCCCCCCCACACAGCGAGTAA